CCTGGACTATAGAAAGTACACCTGGACCATAGAACGTACACCTGGACCATAGAAAGTACACCTTGACCATAGAACGTACACCTGGACTATAGAAAGTACACCTGGACTATAGAAAGTACACCATACCATACCATACCATACCAACTTTATTTATAAAGCACCTTAAAACAACCATGGCTGACACAAAGTGCTGTACATTAAAACACAACATAATAAAAGTGGAAATAAAAACAGTTTAAAAACAGAAAACATACAATTTAAAACTAGATCCTGCTGGTGTTAAAAACATACATTTTAAAAGCATACAAAATTTAAAAACTAGATCCCGCTGGTGTTAAAAGCCAAGTTGAATAAATGAGTTTTAAGACGAACTTTAAAAATGGACAGTGAAGGGGACTCTCTGACCTGCAAAGGCAAGTCGTTCCATAACTTAGGGCCCATGACAGAGAAAGCCCTGTCCCCTCTGAGCTTCCTTCTTGTTCTTGGTACCTCCAAGAGCAGCTGATCTGCTGACCTGAGAGACCGATAGGGTGTGTAGGGATGAAGAAGCTCAGAGAGGTAAGCCGGGGCAAGATTATGCAGTGATTTAAAAACAAACATGAGAATTTTAAAATGAATCCTAAAATATACAGGCAGCCAGTGAAGTGAAGCCAGGACAGGGGTCACATGTTCCCTCTTTCGAGTTCCTGTTAAAAGTCGTGCAGCAGCATTCTGAACCAGCTGCAGACGTGAGAGCAGCAACTGACTGACTCCCAGATAAAGTGCATTACAGTAATCCAATCGAGTCGAAATAAAAGCGTGGATCACCATTTCAAAATGCTGTCTGGAAAGAAAAGACTTCACTGACGCCAATCGCCTTAAATGATAAAAGCTGGACTTAACCACGGCTTTGATTTGGCTGTCCAATTTAAAATCACTGTCCACCTTAAAACCAAGATCTGTAATAACAGGTTTAAAATATTTCTCCAAGGGTCCCAGGTTAATAGAGGAGGACTCACAGGAGCCACTGGGTCCAAACACCATCACCTCGGTTTTGTTTTCATTAAAATTTAAAAAGTTCAAGGCCAACCAAGCTTTAATATCTCCTAGACATTCCAGGAGATGTGTGAACGTATGTCCATCCTTCTGCTCTAGGGGTAAATAAATCTGACAATCATCAGCGTAACAATGGAATGAAATCCCATGTTTCCTAAGGATAGAACCCAGAGGCAGTAAGTACAACGAGAAGAGCATAGGGCCCAGAATTGAGCCCTGCGGGACACCATATTGCATTGGAACTGAAGATGATTCAGAGTCATTAATTTTCACTGAAAATGTTCTCTCCTCCAAGTAAGACTTAAACCATTTAAGAACAGTGCCATCAATACCAACAATATGTCGTAATCGCGATATTAAAATGTTGTGGTCCACTGTATCAAAAGCAGCAGTTAGGTCAAGTAAAATCAGAACAACATGATTACCAGAATCACAATCAAGAAGGATGTCGTTAAAAACTCTAATTAAAGCAGATTCTGTACTGTGGAGAGTTTTAAAACCTGACTGGAAAACCTCCAGAATGCCATTGTCATTTAAAAACTGTGTCAGCTGACAGTATACAAGTTTCTCTAAAACCTTAGAAAGAAAAGGCAGCTTTGAAATAGGCCGATAATTAGCCAGAACAGTTGGATCAAGACCATAGAAAGTCCACCAGGACCATAGAACGTACACCTGGACTATAGAAAGTACACCTGGACCATAGAACGTACACCTGGACCATAGAAAGTACACCTGGACTATAGAACGTACACCTGGACCATAGAAAGTACACCTGGACTATAGAAAGTACACCTGGACTATAGAAAGTACACCTGGACCATAGAAATTACATCTGGACAATAGAAATTACATCTGGACTAGCGAACGTACACCTGGACTGTAGAAAGTACACCTGGACTATAGAAAATACACCTGGATCATAGAAAGTACACCTGGACTATAGAAAGAACACCTGGACAATAGAAATTACATCTGGACTAGAGAACGAACACCTGGACTAGAGAAAGTACACCTGGACCATAGAACGTACACCTGGACTATAGAAAGTACACCTGGACCATAGAACGTACACCTGGACCATAGAACGTACACCTGGACCATAGAACGTACACCTGGACCATAGAACACTTGAAGAAAAGAGGCCATGACTTTCAAAACGTTTTGCACAACCACAAAGTTTTACTGCTTTAAATTCTTTTAAAGCATTCATTATTGTTGGATGTAACTGGGACCTTGTGAACATAACTTCGCTCCACCACATGTACCACATGAGGTGCGAATGACAATAAAGAAACTCTGACTCTGACTGATTATTTTTTACATTTATTTAATCTGTAAATAAACAAAAACTAAGATTAAATTACACACCGGTATCAGTGGTTCCCAGGTCTGGTCCCTGAGGAACACCATCCTGCATGTTTTAGCTGTTTCGCTGCTGATTCTTAATTTCTTCCTTGAGCTGGACAGAACCAGTTGATTACCTTTCAGTGAAGTCAGGTGTGCTGGAGCAGAGAGCAACTGAAACATGCAGGGTGGTGTTCCTCAGGGACCAGGCCTGGGAACCACTGGATGTCTTAACAACTACCGGTAGGTGACTTTTGGATTTTAGTTTGGGGAATCAGAGTAAAGAAGGTTTAACACATTTACACATTTGTTTTATTAATACAGTTTAAAACTCCTCCTTTCCACACCAATTCTGCATTGCTTGTTTATCACATCAACTCTAAGTCAAATAGAAGTTTGTGGTTGTAGCAGGACAAAATGTGGAAAGTTCAAGACGTAGGAACAGTTTTTTAACAACAACTGGCACCCGTCATGTGTTGCACACGAGAAGTGAAGCGGTTTGATTCACTCCGTTCTTTAAGGTTCAGTCGTGCACCTGAAGGAAACGGGCCGCCTCTTTGGACGACAGCGTTGAACCCTTCAGGACAGAAACTGCTCCCGGAGTTAAAGAAAACCATCTTTGCTTCAGGCCCGTGTCCTCTAGATGCTCTTTAAATGAGCTTTGACAACCTGGTGAAGAAACCCAAACACGTTCAAGGTGTAACCTCTGAAAGACCACCAGGCGTCTCCAGATGTTCATGGTTTGTTTCTGTTCAGCCACTTTGTGGAGTCGGTTACTTCTTTTCAGCTGTGTGTGATCTTAACGTTCTGGGCTAAGGGCGTCTTTGTTGCATCTTATTGTCAGACTGTTGTTTCCAGCTGGTCATGGGTTCGTGCACGCTCACAGCTTCATGACGAGGCTCTTTAACTCGTGCTGACAGCAGGTCGTCTTCTACAGACGTCTCCAGTGTTCGTTCTTTGTGACAAACCCTAAAGGAACCCCGTCATGTGGAAGTCACTGTGGGTTTACTGCTGCACTTTGTGTGGAAACCATGAAGGTCTGAATCCTCGGCTGAGGAGCCAGACTCTCAGCTGCTGCCTCCTCTCTGACCTCTAACGTTTGTGCTGGTTCATGTTCCAAACTTCAGGGTCACATCACCATCTGAGCTTTCCTTGTGAATCCAGGCTCATCATCTCAGCCGTGCCTTCCTAACATGTTTTCATCTGTGGCCTGGTCTTCATGACCTGGACGGGACAGGAAGCGTCCTTGTTGCTCAGAGAAGGGACGTCACGCCACCGGGCACACTGTCTGTCTGTTGGGGCCTGTTTGTCGGTTACCATGGCAACACTTGGACAGTGATTGTCCAACTGCAGACAGATGAAGGCTCAGTTCAGCCTCAGCTGCTCTGAGCACGTGCTGGTAGTTACCCACAATGCATCTGCATGGGCGGGGCTGAGGTGCGGCCCTGGAAGATGATGTAAGACTCTGAACTGGAACATTGTTGCTGCTCAGATAAAAACTTTCTGTTAACAGAAAGTCTGGGTTCAAACCCGTCACAGTGCCCATGCAGCGTCTGCAGACAAACATCTGCAGAACATCTGCAGAGCTTCAGTCTTTACAAGCTCAATAATATTTTAACTGCTTTTTATCAGGTGAACGTCATGAGACTTTTACTGCTCGATGAGTTTTGTAGCTTCTGAAGCAAAAAGATAAAGAAACAGTTGAGCAGCATTTTGAAACAGAGAATTTAAATTCTTGCATATTTATTAATTTATCCAAAAACATAATGTGTAGAGGTTGTTTGTTACGATTTAATGTATGAAACACAGGATCACACCGTGCAGTAAGACGATGAATTTACTGTTGAACGATGATCTGCTCAGTGCAGTAAGACGATGAATTTACTGTTGAACGATGATCTGCTCGGTG